GTGCCGGAAGAGGTGGGAGTCTGGGGGGCTGACGGGAAGGACAAATGCGGAGGCGTGGGGCTCACACCTGAGCTTGGAGGAATAAGGCCAGAACTAGGAACTGTGGGTGGTGTGTGAGGCAGCTTGTGAGCCAGCATGGGGTTAGACTCGAGCTGGGAGGTAATGAGTGAGCTGAGCGAGAGTGACGTCTGCGGTGAGGCCAGAGAGCTGAACGACGAGGTCACCGGCAGGCCCAGCGGCGACGAGGAAGCCGAGGACACCAGCTGGGGTCCGCTGCCTAGTGGCTGCTGCTGGGGCTGCGGGGGCAACAGGGGTTGTGACAAGGGTGGCTGCTGCTGCTCCCTCTCCCTCTCCCGCTGCTGCTGCTGTTCCCGCTCCCGCTCCCGCTGCTGCTCTCGTAGTTGCTGTTGCTCTCGCAGCTGTTGCTGCTCCCGTAACTGGTGGTGCTGGGCACTGAGGCCAGACCCGCCTATACCTTCCCCGTTCTTTTCTTGTACTCGGCTATTGTCTTGTGTAAGACTAGGAACTTTGTTGAGCGGGGATGCGGTGGCGGCGCGGTCGTGTGCGGATTCTTCCTGCTCTTTGGAGATCCGCTCGGTCATCTTGTCCTCCTCACGGGAGCTGTTGAGCGCCACGATCTCCCGTGCCTCGTCCGGGTTCAGTGGCATGACCTTGGCTTCACCTGTCTTCTCATACTCCTCCAGGTTAAGTGTGGTGGACGGAGGGATGCTAAAATTATAGGGCGAGTCTTTACTGCGTTGTCGCTCTTTGAACAGCGTGTTACGGAACCAATGCTTAATTACCTTGGGAGGCAGTCCGCTCTGCTTGGCCATCTCGTTGATCTGCTCTTCGGTCGGGGAATTGTTGATGTCGAAGTGAGCTCTCAGGATCTTCAGCTGCTCGTCGGTGATGCGTGTGCGAGCCCTCTTCTGCTGTGCGGCAACGGCGGCAGCAGCGGCTTGCTGTTGCTGCAAGAGCTGCTGCTGCTGCTGCTTGAGGAACATGGATGCATCATTGGGCAGGTTTGAAGGCAGCGAAGTGGGTGGTGTCTGCTGCTGCATGTTGGCCAGGGCGCCCGGATCGAACATGTGGGGCGGCATCATGGGCATGAGGGGCGGATGGAGGTTCATGGCCGCCAGGGGGTTGAGCTGGAGGGGCAGCCCCGCCAGCCCGAGCCCCGCCATCATCATGGGGTTGAACTGCATCTGTTGCATCTGCGCCGCCGTCAGGGCATTGAGCGCCGCGGCCATCTCGACCATCTGCGACGGCATGTTCATACCCTGCTGGTCAGCGGCGGGGGAGATGGAGGCGGCAGAGATGGAGGTGGGCGTGACACCAGGTGTGGGCGTGGCACGAGAGGTGGGCGTGGGCGTGGCCGCGGCGTCGCTCCTGCTGCCTGACTCTGCCTCTTTCTCTCTCTCATCTGAAGTCCCCTTGTCTCCCCCCTGGATGAGCTCCGCGTCCCGGACTCGCTCCTCATCTGTAAGAGCAGAGGGATCGCTGCTAGAGCATTGCCGACTAGTATTGTACTCTTTACGGTACTCATCTGAGAAGGTCTTAAGGTAATCAAAAGGTACACCTGATTTATGAATTTCTTCTAAGTGGGCTTTTAAAACCCATACACTAGAAAATTGTTTAGAACACTGAGGACATTTAGATTTACTAAGTTCTGGTAGATCAGGATTGGATCTGTCTTTAGAGTCCTCAGAAGTCCCCTGCTCGGGTTCTTTTGATGGACAAGATTGTTGATTTTCAACATACTGAACAACTAGGTCAAAGCCAAAGCTTTCTAATAAGTGCTTGTGTAGGCGTGAAGACTTTCTGAAAGGTACAGTGAATCTAGAGGTAGAGAGAGATTCTATGGAACATTCAGATGGAGAGAGAGAGCGGTCGGGGGGCTGAGTCTGGGGCAGGGGGGCGGCGCCGGCCCCGCAAAGGGAGGCCCAGGCAGCGTCCAGGGTGGCTGGCTGACTGACACCGGTGCTGACGGCGTGCGGGAGGAAGGCCAGGTGAGGGGGGATGAGCCCGCACAGCACTGCATGCTGCGCTCCCTGCTCCGGGCTGCTCCACACGCCACCACACCGATCGCAGCTTCCCTGGGCGCTGCCGCTGCTGCTATTAGAGGGGGAAATGCCCTGATAATGCCCCCCTGGAGGGGTAGCCTGAGGGGTTGAGGGGGAGCGAGGAGTGTGTGCGTCATGGTGTGGGGCGGGGGAGGGCTGCGGGGTACTGGTGGGTGTGGGCGGATGGTCGACTAGTGGGCGCGAGGGGTCTGGGTGGGCGTGGGTGGCCAGGAAGTCTGGGAGTCGGGCGGCGCGCGTCTGGTGGAGCACTGAGCGCAGGTGAATGTCCAGGGTCGACTGCTGCGAGTACGCCACTCGGCACACGTGGCACCTGTAGGGCTTGTTGCGCTCCTCCTCCTCGCCCCCGGGCCCCGCCCCCCCGCCGCCCCTGGAGGCGCTGGCTAAGCCGTCGCCCGGGGGAGCGGACCCGGCGGCCTCCACGCCGCTCCCTTCAGACTGGGTCTGATAGCTGCTCGGAGATCCTTTGGTCTCTTTGTCCTGCATGGCTTTTTTAAGCTTATGCAAATGACTGACTGAATTGTAATGTACAAGCAGAATGTTTTTCTGCGTGAATGACTCTTTGCAAACATCACATTTGTATGGTCTGTTGGGGTCAAGATATTTCTCCATCGGGTAGGTGAGTTTCTCTCCCCTGCGATGGAGCAACGTCTTTTGGTGAGCCGAGAGATAGGTCTGGCGCGTGTAGGCGACCCGGCAGCGGTGACACTTGAAGCGTCGCGCCGGGTCGCTGTAGTTATCGAGAGCCATCGTGTCAGAGTTGAGGTAGTCCTCGATGGCCTGCTGTTGCGGAGGCAGCGGAGGCTCATCGACACGAGACAGCTCCTCGGGCTCGTCGTCCTTATTAGACTCCAGTCGGAGCAGCGCCGTGGTGCTGGGGTCGAGGACGGGCCCCGCCCCCGCGCCCACGGGCGCCCCCACGATGGATGCCTGGAACTGGTGTCGTTCCGCCGCTGAAAGCTCAGGGTGGTCAGAGCTGACATGTTTTTGTAAAGCCGTGAGCGAGCGGAAGTTGCGGTGACACAACAGACACTTGGTGGCATCCCGAATCGCATGGTACTGCGAGTGCAGCTGCAGCTTCTCCACTGTTTTGAAGGCGAGAGAACACTGCTGGCAGCGGTACTTGTACACGTGCCTCTCTGACACGGCGATCGACGGCCTGGGCGCCGCGCCATGGATCTCCCGGAAGTGACTGTGCAGCGCCTGAGCCGAAGGGAAGTACTGGTTACAGCCCTTCTTCCAGCACAGGTATCCTGGCCCCCGCGGCGTCTCCGTCAGCGGCGTGTGTCCCACGGCCGCCTGGTGCGCCACCAGGTCCTCCACCGAGGCGCACGCCAGCCCACACACACCACACTCCTCCTGCTCCCGGCCCACGCTCCGCTCATCACCTCGCTTACCTGCTCCACCTGATGGCTGGCTCTCCTCCGCCTTCCCGGGCAGACGGAGATGCTGTTCCGGATGCATCTGTTCGGCTTGCGGCGGCGGCGGCGGCGGCGGCTGCGGCTGCTGATGGTGCTGCTGCGAGTGATCCTCTTCCTCGGCCTCCTTGCCCGCTGCGGCGCTAAGTCTGACCAGCAGCATGAGCCTCTGGAGGCCCTCGGAGTTGACCGAGTGAACATTGATGGCATGTTTCTCGAGGGAGGGCATGTCGGGGCACGCCTCCTCGCACAGGGGGCACCTCAGCCCGGCCTTCTTCTCCCCTCCGTGCTCACTGTCCACGTGCTGCTGCAGGCTAGACTCCAGCTCGCACGTGAAGTGGCAGAAGGGGCAGGCATGCACGTGGTCGGGCGAGCGGCCCTCTTCCTTGGTCTCCTCTGCAACGCAAGAAAAAAATCCAACGTCAGTAACAACTTCTATGCGGCCACAGGTCATGCATGGAAAGGGCTAACTCAAGCAGAATAGAAAGAAATCAAAATGAAAACAAAACACATTCGTAATAAAATAAAACCTTATCTTATATAATACAAATAAGTAACAAAACGTGACTCGGGCAAATATTCCGTGACACGAGGAGCACAAGAGCCAACACCGAGGCATCGCAGCGGTCACCTTCGATCCTGTAGCGCCGAGCGATCGTTTTCACTCTCATGCTGAATCCCTTCGCTCGGCGTCCAGTAACTGATTTCTTTTTCGTTCTAAATACCCCCGCCTGCGTTTAACATCAATATTGACCGCGGTTTCACATCACGATTGAACAACAGAAAAGAACAACAACACAAGTTTCAACACTGTACACGCACGTCTCCCTCACGTCTCCCTCCGTACGACGCCGAGACACGCTTCCTCCAACGCAAACACGTAAAACCCACAAAATAATCCTCTCGAAAAAAAATAACAAAAAAACACAACGCAAAATCCAGCGACGCGACAACACGGGGGCGCGCGCGTGTGTGTGTGTGCGGGTGCGTGTGCGTGTAGGTCGACGGCGCGCGACTCCGACCTGCAGCGCCGACCACAGAACTAGCAGCGCGGATGATGACACAGAGGGCTTCTGGTCACTTCCTAGACCGCCTAATGACCTAAATGACATTACGTGAGCTCGCTCTGTGCGCCAGCTTAAGCCCGGCCATCCGCGCTCATTAAGACGAGCGGCGGGGGAGGGGGGAGGGGGGAGACAGGGGAGGGGCGGGGAGTGGGAGTCTGAAGGGGGAGGGAAGGGGGAGACGGGAGGGCTGGGGGTGAGCGGGAAGGGGGGGGGGTGCGGGCGGGAAGGGATGTGGGGGGGAAAGGGGGGAGCGGGTGGGGATGAGGGGGAAGGTGAAGAAGTGGGAAGTAGGAATATGGGGACGAGTTTGAGAAGGAAAAAAACGAGAAAGAGAGAGAGAGAAAAAAAAAAAGGATTCGTAAATAAAATGTAGTTTTTCTTATTTCATCTATTTTCTTTTTATTTATTGCTCTCCTTTTTCATTTCCCCATCCCTCCCCTTCCCTCAACAAAACAAGCGAAATCTCCAAACAAACAAACAAAACAAAACAAAAACAAAAAACACAATAACACACATTCCACCAAAATCAAGTAAAAAAAATAATAAAAAATAAAACAAACCAAACTTCACGACCCAAGAAAAAGCAGACGACGAACGAACCCCCGCGAACAGTAGAACCCGACCATAATAAATAGGCTAAATACAATAAAAACAGATAGATAGATAAAAACCCGCGATAGACAGTGAAACTTTTGCGTCTTCCCCCGAACCCTCGTAAGGCTTCAGCGAGTGGGCTTTGGGTTCATCAACACGCGTATGGATTCTAGGTATGAGGAGTGGGGGGTGGGGAGGAGGAGGGGGAGGTGGGGGAGGTCGGTTGCGAATGCGCTATCTCCCCCTTCTCCCCCTCCCCCTTACCCCGATCCCCAACCCCTTCAACCCTCCCTTAATTCCCCCATTCCAACCCCTTCTGTTCTTCCCCTCCGCCTTCCCCAATAGGACCTCCTCTCCCCATCCCCAAATCCCCAACTCGTACCCGCTGATACCATACTCCCCCAATTCCCTTCCCCCCTCAAATCCTTGCCCCTTCTAGACCCTCATTCCCCATCTCTCTCCCCCTCCTCCCCACCCAGATCCTTTCTCCCCCCCCTCCCTACCCAGATCCCCCCCCTCCTCCATCCCCACCCTTCAGCGCTAATATGTCGAGGTGACGGGATTAACAATTACCAGGATTACCCCTCCCCCCCCCCCTCTCCTTCCCCCTCCTCCCCAACAACAGGATTGATGTAAGGATTCCTCCGCTAGCTGGATGAGGAGGCCAATTTGGACCCTATTGCCCTTGCCATAGAGGTCTGATTCCCATCCCCCCCCGTGTCACCCTGCTTCCCCTTCATCCCCCTCCCCCCCCCCCGAGTGAGGGTGAGAGCGAGTCTTGCGAATTTATGACGAAACGTGCTTGATACGGATCAGTATGACGTCACGATTCTGATTCGTAAGAGGGAGAGGGAGAGAGATAGATAGATATAGAGACAGAAAGACAAAGAAGACAGAGACAAACAGAGAGAGAGTGAGAGTGAGAGTGAGAGTGAGAGTGAGTGTGTGTGAGTGAGAGAGAGAGAGAGAGAGAGAGAGAGAGAGAGAGAGAGAGAGAGAGAGAGAGAGAGAGAGAGAGAGACAGCATTACCGCGAAGCCTTACCCAATCCCTCTGATATAAAACGATTTTATAGCAGTCTCCGGCTCTCCCCCCTCCCCCTCCCCCTTCCCCCTATCCACCTCCCTATCCCAATATTACAAGATTTAATGACAAAACCGACGAAGGATACTCGTGTTAACACCGGTATTCTAGGTATTAAATTACCCCACGATAGCATTAAAAAAATTTCTCCCGCCCTCATTACCTACCTACCCCCCCCCCCACCCTCCTCCCCTCTTCTAGTAATAAGGGTAATCATCATTATCGCTAATAAGGTCCCGACGACATTTCAATTCTCACCTAATTGTCTATGCAAGTGACAGACAGACACCGAGTAAAAAATTGCCAGCGACATTATTTTCCGTCCCGATATCAGCTTAATAATCTATAATAATACTAATTGAACAAAGAGAGGTACGGCTCTGTGTGTGTGTGTGTGTGTGTGTGTGTGTGTGTGTGTGTGTGTGTGTGTGTGTGTGTGTGTGTGTGTGTGTGTGTGTGTGTGTGTGTGTGTGTGTGTGTGCCTATTTACCAACTCCATACACACTTTCCAAAGAAAAAAAAAAAAAAAAAAAAAAAAAAAAATTCCTAAAACACGAATAACCCCAAACAGTTAAACCCTTCACACACACAAACAGTCGAACAAACAAACAAACAAACAAACACAGCAGCGGCCGGACCTCCAGCCAGGCGCCAGGGTGGACGGTTCAGGCAATTGTAATCATGAAGGTATTAAGTGATACGTCCTTGGCAAGGGTTTAATCGTTCTACGTACGGTACTGGCCGCGATTCTGGATTTGTGCTGCGGGGCCGCCTACGCTCTCGCCTCTCTCTTCTCTCTTTTCGTTTCTCTTCTTCGCTCGTTCGTGTCTCTTTCTTTTCTCTCTCTCTCTCTCTCTCTCTCTCTCTCTCTCTCTCTCTCTCTCTCTCTCTCTCTCTCTCTCCTCTCTCTCTCTCTCTCTCTCTCTCTCTCTCTCTCTCTCTCCTACGTTAGTTTACTTACAGTCAACACAGCGGCTAATCAAAGAGAGAGGTAGGGGGGAGGGAGAATAGGGGGGGGGGGAAGGAGAACAACAAACATTCGTCATAAATATAGGCCTACTTGCGACTCGGCCCCGCTAATGTTTACACGGACTCATTAGCATACTCCAGTCGAGCGCTAAATAATTTGAATTAAAAGCAAGGGAGAGGGAGGGAGAGAGAGAGAGAGAGAGAGAGAGAGAGAGAGAGAGAGAGAGAGAGAGAGAGAGAGAGAGGAGAGAGAGAGAGAGGAGAGAGAGAGAGAGAGAGAAGAGAGAGAGACAGAAGAGAGAGAGAAAACAGAGGGAAACAAAACGAAAAAAGAAAAGAGCAAAAAAAAGTACCCCCCAAAAAAAAAAAAAAAATACAAACACACAAACCCTCTCCTTCTCTCCCTCCCTTCCCTCCCTCCCTCTCCTCTCTCTCTCCCTCTTTTCCAGTACGTGAAGGTCGCAACCGCGGAGGTCACCCGGACAGACAGACAAGGCGTTTCCCAGCCCGACGACGCAATGACTGACACGGAACGCCAGGTGAAAGAAGGGCGGTTTTTTACGCTGATCTACGTTGCGTCATCGAGTTAGCGGAGGAACGCCACATCTGGTCTAAGGAGATAAGAAAGGGGGAGGGGAGGGAGAAGGGGAGAGGGAGGGAAGAGTGGAGGGGGAGGAGGAAGGGAGGAGAGACAAAGTGAGACAGCAAATTGAAAGAGAGCGCGAAAAACAGCAAAAAAAAACGGACTTTCTCAACAAAAAAAGTCGCGAATCAGACAGCAAATTGAAAGCAGGTAGCGAAGAGCAGTCAGCAGTCAGCCGTCAGTAAACGCAGAACGGTAGCAGGGCCGCAAAGAGGCGGACGAGGAGGGCTTGGACGATGAGCAGTAACGAATCGAGCTGACAGAGGCACCAAGATGAGAATGGGGGGTGGGAGGAGGGAGGAGGGATGAATGGGGGAGGGGAGGGAGGAGGAGGGGAGAAGGGTAGAGGAGGAATGAGGGGAGAGGGAGAAGGTATAGGGGGTAGTAGTAAGTATAGAGGGGACAGATAGAGGAATGGGGAATGGGGATTGGGGAGGAAGGGAGAAAAAAGGGAAGAAGAGATGAGGAATGTGGGGGCGGGAGATGAGGAATGGGCATAAAGATGAAAAGGAATAGGAGAAAGGAGAAAGGAGAGAGGAGGGAGAAGAAGAAGAGGATTGAGGATTCGAAGCAAGAAGAGAGGAAGAAAAGAGCAACGAGGATAGAGAATACGAGAGAATACAAAGAAAAGAGACGGGGAGAAGAGAGGAGAAAGGAGGGAACGAGAGAGAAGGAGAAGGGAGAGGGAGGGAGGGGGGACGACATCGCCAGGTATAAGCTAAATATGCTGGTATGACTGATGTCTGGCGTGGAGACTTGCCTGCCGCTGTCCAACGAGGATGTTTGCTCCGCCGTGACATCACTGACATCGGAATGCCCCGTGGCGAGAGGAAAAGAAATGCGTGTGTGCGTGTGTGCGTGTGTGCGTGTGTGTGTGTGTGAGCGCCCGCATATGTTACTTTCCTCCGCCTGATCATCACACACAGCGAAACAGCATCACCAACGAAAAAACAATCCCCCACATCATCATTACAACAAAACGATTTCATTACCCCCAAAAATCCGGAATAACGACCCTCCCCCCTTCCCCCCCACCCCCTC